TGACCTTGCAGCGTCGTAAAAATCAACACTACTCGTGCTTTTTGACTATAAGCTATGGTATACATACAATAAAAGCTGAGTTAGGGTGGAACGGTGTGGTGGTGCTCCCGCCTAAAAATTAACACCACTCGTGTCTAAGACCCACCTGTGGCGGAACTATTGCTCATAACAAAGCACTGTTGTGAAGTTTTCGCAAGGCCAACTGCGGCCGAATGCAGCAGTGATTAACCATTAAAATATGTCAGATTTTGCATAGAAGTGTTTAACTGTTAGCTTTTTATTTGGGTGTAACGGAGTTTTAGTCCTCAAACATGAAGGAGTTAGAACGTTCGAAGAATTGTACAACTGGGCCTGTTTTCCACGAAATTGCCACACATCGCACAACCATTTCTGCGCATTTTGATCTAACTGGGCAACGAAACTTGCCATAGACCATCTTGCTCACCATAGCTCTTACCCACCGACTGTCTTTCAACGGCGTAGATAGTTTCTAAAGGAAAGCACATCGAAATCCAATTATTGATGGGGTTCATAACCTCTAGACTAAAACACTAAAAGCCTGTCAGTGGTCAACTGAATTTGGTTCTTGTGGCGAAGGAATGTTGATAGTAACAGTTTTTTTCTGAGAAAATGTCTTGCTCGGAGATATTGTAGATATTCAGATTATAGATATCTGCAATTAAGGTTCTGCGTTCAGTTGGCCCGATAAATACGATTTGGCCTATACAGTGACCAGCGGGGGCCAGCTGATGCCCAGTCAGTGTTACTCATCCTTCCAGGAAAGCCTGGTGCCACCTGAGCAACCCGGAGGGATCAATTTCTGGATCGCACTGTCCAGAGTTGGATTCCCGAACCGCTTACGTGATAAGCGGTGCTACTTGCCACCACTTCTGCCCTTCTGGCTTCCGTGTAGTGGACACACCAACAGAAGTGTATAAGTAAATTAGTACTGGTCCATAAGTAAAAACGTTTCCAGCACTACATCCGTACAATGTCGCGGCCAATCGGTCAGAATGCTGCCGACATTCAGGTGGACGATGCCCTTTGGAGTGGCGTATATCGCGAAAGATTGGTTCGTGCTTTCTGTCTTATTTATTTTTATATGGCTGCTTTTACGCTATCTTCGTGTTTTTTACATCAAAAATTCTGGGACTCCTACATTAGTCGAGTGGCATGGCAGCCGGATTTCCATTAGGGAATCTCGACCTGAGTCACTTGTTGAAGTATCACCTGTTTCAAACTCGTTTTTGAATTTTTACAAGGTGCTTGGCAGAGCAATGAAGCAGAATTCGGTTTCGACTGCATGTCAGTTGGCGCACTTCATCTTCCTCTCTTCATTATTTGCACTTTTCGGACTTTGGTCTAGATCTCGTTACGAAATCCAGTCACTATTCCTGACCACTAACTAATATAAATATAAATATAAATATGTTTCAGTATCTTCCTCGTCCAGAAACGTTCGCCGAACCGGTGCCCATCACAAATCAATCGGTAAGGTCGCCTTTTGGTGAGACAGTGTTTTGCTCCTATCTAAAAAGGCTCCATTAATATGTACATACCTAAATGGAACAGAGCAAATAAGAGGTGTGAGCAAATTTATTATAAGTCACCAAAGTATTTTCCAGTACTTAAATTTGGCGAGTCGTAGTAGGTCAAGACAGTGGAAGTCCAGGTGCCCCTGAAAATCTTTTTCGTGGAGAGGTGTATTTG